ATTGAGAATCCCAAGCAGACTCCACGCTCAGCAGGGAACCCAACATGGGGCTCGATACCATGACTCTGGGATCATGACCTGAGCCAACAGCAGAGGCTTAACCGACTGAGCCACCCAAACACCCCTGCCTTTGTAATTTCTTAAATGCCCCCTGAATAGGCAATGAAATCCATCCTGCATCTCCAAAAATTCAATAAATCAAGTTTATAAATAATAATAAAGTGCTACCCAAAGGTAAGCTACAACAAAACAATACAATTTAATGGAAGCAAAAGAGATGATAGAAGTCCTGGGTTGTAGCCTACTTCTGCCTCTACTAACTGTATGATTTGGGGCAACATTTAGAGCTCCAATTTCCTAGAGTAGAGGATGAGAAAAAAAAAATGCTGTGCACAAGCTAAGACCTCAGGTGTAAAGCTTAGCACTGTAGGTGGGCAGATATACAAGATTGCACACTTGGACTAAAAGAAATGAGCTCACGATCAGGAGAGAAGAGTTTAAGTTCTAAGTCACTGATCGTTAGTATGCTTCAAGCAAGCCACTGAGGATCTGGTGTTCCTGTTTTCTCCATAGGAAAATGGAAATAAAAATCCTACTCAGAACACATTTCTCCTCATACCCAAAATTTTAGGAGTTAGAGATTGACCTTTGAGGACATTATACAAAAGTTAATAATTATATGAGGAAGCAATAGAAAGAATGAGAACTCAAGGTTTTTAGCCTAAGCAATATATCTTAGAGATGGGATGTCTGTAAGTATCAGATCCAACAAGGATGATTCATGCTTCTTAGGGATATGTTGACAGTTTGAGTACCGTGTCATTAGGGAGCTCATGGGGCCTGGTTTCATATTGCAATCTGAAAATCATCATCATAACACTAATGGCCTTTGGGCACTTACTCTGTACTATATTATGTGCCCGTGCCCACATTGCACACAGATCAATTTAATTGAACCTCTATGGGTAGATCCCAGGCATCCATACTTTCAAATGCTCTGGGTGATTATAGTATACAGTCGGTATTGAGAACCACTGTCTTAGAGCCTCAAGTCCCGTGAAAAACTAAGAACAAATTCCAGACACCTAATGACAGCTCACTTTTATGTGAACTGAGTGCTTGAAAAAAATTTCTAAATATGCATTATCCTGTGTTATTTTTACAACCACCTTTGAAATTGATATTACTGATATTTTATTTAAATTCAATTAGCCAACATTCAGTACATCATTAGTTTCAGATGTAGTGTTCATCACATCACATATCCTCCTTTAATGCCTATCACCCAGTTACCCCATCCCCACACCCACCTCCCTTCAACCCTCAATTTGTTTCCTAGAGTTAAGATTGTCTCTCATGGTTTTTCTCCCTCTCTGATGACTACCCATCCAGTTTTCCCTCCCTTCACCTATGATCCTCTGCACTATTTCTTATATTCCACATATGAGTAAAACCATATGATAGTTGTCTTCCTCTGATTGACTTATTTCACTCAGCATAATACCCTCCAGTTCTGTCCACACTGATGTAAATGGTAAGTATTCATCCTTTCTGATGGCTGAGTATTATTCCATTGTGTGTGTGTGTATCTATATATAGATATGTATATAGATATATCTACTACATCTTCTTTATCCATTCACCTGTCAATGGACATCTCAGCTCTTTACACAGTTTTGCTATTCTGGACATTGCTGCTATAAACGCTGGGGTGCAGGTGCCCCTTTGGATCACTACATTTGTATCTTTGGGGTAAATATCTAGTAGTGCAATTGCCAGGTTGTAGGTTAGCTCTATTTTTAACATCTTGAGGAACCTCCATACTGTTTTCCAAAGTGGCTCTACCAACTTGCATGCCCACGGACAGTGTAAGAGGGTTCCCCTTTCTCTGCATCCTCTCCAGCATTCTTTATTTCCTGACTTATTAATTTTAGCCATTCTGACAAGTGTGAGGTAATATCTCATTGTGGTTTTGATTTGTATTTCCCTCATGCCAAGTGATGTGAAGCATTTTTTCATGTGTCTGTTGGCTGTTTGGATGTCTTCTTCAAAGATATGTTTGTAATCTCTTCTGCCCATTTCTTGACTGGGTTATTTGTTTTTTGGGTGTTGACTTTGATGAGTTTTTTATAGATCTTGGATACTAACCCTTTATCTGATATGTCATTTGCAAATATCTTTTCCCATTCCATAGGTTGCCTTTTAGTTTTGATGACTGTTTCCTTTGCTGTGCAGAAGCTTTTTATACTGATGAAGTACCAATAGTTCATTTCCTTTTTTGTTTCCCTTGCCTTTGGAGATGTGTCTAGGAAGAAGTTGCTACAGCCAAGGTCAAAGTGGTGTTCTCAAGGATTTTGATGGATTCCTGTGTCACATTGAGGTCTTTCATTCATTTTGAGTTTATCTTTGTGTCTGGTGTAAGAAAATGGTCCAGTTTCATTCTTTTACATGGGGCTGTCTAACTTTCCCAGCATCATTTGCTGAAGACACTGTCCTTTTTCCATTGGATATTCTTTCCTGCTTTGTTGAAGATTAGTTGACTATGGAGTTCTGTATTCTCTCCTCTGAGTTCTCTGTTGTTTTCTACTGCTCTGTGTCTGGTTTTGTGCCAGTACCATACTTTCTCGATGATTACAGCTTTGTAGTGTAGCTTGAAGTCTGACATTGGGATGCCACCAGCTTTGGTTTTCTTTTCCAAAATTCCTGTGGCTATTTGGGGTCTTTTCCCGTTCCATACAAATTTCAGGATTATTTGTTCCAGCTCTGTGAAGAATGTCAAAGGTATTTTGATAGGGATTGCATTGAATGTGTAGATTGCTCTGGATAGCATAGACATTTTAACAATATTTATTCTTTCAATCCATGAGCATGGAATGTTTCTCCATTTTTCTTTGTGTCTTCCTCAGTTCTTTAGTAAATGTTCTGTAGTTTTTAGGGTATAAATCCTTTACCTCTTTGGTTAGGTTTATTCCTAGATATCTTATGGTTTTGGGTGCAATTGTAAATGTAAATGTAATTGTAAATGTAAATCAATTCCTTAGTTTCTCTTTCTTCTGTCTCATTGTTTTAGTATAGAAATGCAATTAGTTTCTATGCATTGATTTTATATCCTGCTACTTTGCTGAATTCCTTTATGAGTTCTAGTAATTTGGGGGCGGAGTCTTTGGGTTTTCCACATAAAGTTTCATGTCATCTGTGAAGAGAGTTTGACTACTTCTTTGCCAATTTGGATGCCTTTTATTTCTTTTTGTTGTCTGATGCCTGAGGCTAGGACTTCTAGTACTATGTTGAACAATAGTGGTGAGAGCGGGCATCCCTGTCGTATATCCGACCTTAGGGGGAAAGCTCTCCATTTTTCCCCATTGCAAATGATATTCACTGTGGGCTTTTCATAGATGGCTTTTATGATATGATATATTCTCTCTATCCCTATACTGTGGATAGTTTTAATGAAGAGAGGATGCTGTATTTTGTCAAATGCTCTTTCTGCATCTATTGAGAGGATCATATGGTTCTTGTCTTTTCTTTTATTAATGTGTTGTATCACATTGATTGATTTGTGGATGTTGAACCAACCTTGCAGCCCAGGGATAAATCCCACTTGGTCGTGGTGAATAATTTTTTTAATGTACTGTTGGATCCTATTGGCTAGTATCTTGGTGAGAATTTTGGCATCCCTGTTCATCAGGGTTATTGGTCTGTAATCCTCCTTTTTGATGGGGTGTTTGTCTGGTTTGGGGATCGAGGTAATGTTGGCCACATAGAACGAATTTGGAAGTTTTCCTTCCATTTCTATTTTTTGAAACAGCTTCAGAAGAATAGGTATTAGTTCTTCTTTAAGTGTTTGTTAAAAATTCCCCTGGGAAGCCGTCAGGCCCTGGACTGATTTCGTAGTCAACAAAAAATATCTTGGAATGCAAGGACTCCATCAGAGGCAAGGAAAAGCTTCATTGCCCTGCAGTTTGCAACCAGTGAGACATGACTTTGGGCTACAAAACCAAAGTAGCTCTGTCAGGGAAGGATCAGGCTTGGAATACAAAGAAGCAAAAACCTAGGGAAAGCTCTGTGCCCTTTATGGACATTGGTCAGACTCAGGTCCCAAGCTGCAAGTTTCAGGAGCAGAGTGGCAGGCAGGATACACAGCTCACTATTTCTGGTAACAGTTTCAGGATGTGGCAGCCGCTAAAGAGCATGACAGGATGTGTTGCGAGGGTTTTTTTTTAAATGTTGCTGAATTTTGTGCAAGCTTGTCATCTCAGGCTGTGCTGACTGGTTTTGTTCCCCGTGGTCATTTGGCCTGATTAAAATTTTAGTTTTTCTCCCTTGACACGAGGGCACCCATCTTGCCTGTCAGCCATTACTGTCAAATTACTGGGGCCTCTTGTCCTCATCTGCGTCTTTCAGCTACAGACCCCGACTTGTCACTCAGTGATACAATTGTAATTGCCATACTATCCTGACACTGTGTGGATTTGAGATGGGTATTTGTGCTTTCACACTCGAGACTATTTGGGAATTGCACAGATGACGAGGACATTTTATTTCTGAATCAAAATACATCTCCAAGTACAAACTATGAAACATGCTGCTTGTTACCTATAGATTAAAGGTTCTCAAACCTAAGCACACAGCATCACCTGGAGAGAGTGTTAAACCCAGATTGCTTCCCGCTGCCCTAGGGTTTCTGATTTGTTAGGTCCTGGGTGAGACCTGAGAGTTTGTATCTCTAACATGAGGCTGATGCTGCTGATCCAGGGACAATACTTTCAGAATTGCTGTAGGATATTTGAGAAGTATACAAGGGGTGAAACTCCCAGATCTTTCCCCCCTTCTCCTCTCATCCTCATGATCTTTGAAACACCCAGAGGCTGGTCTTTCTCCCAGCAAACTGCAAGGTGAGGAGAGGATTCATCCAGAAAGAGCCCAGGATCGTCCAGCTGAGCCCAAGTGCTCAAAACTAACTTCATCCAAAAGTCAAAGATGCAGCCTTTCATGGGTTCTTCTCTCCCATCCCCACAGGGCCTCCAAAACAGGAGAATGGCTGCAGAAAATCACTCTACAGTGACCGAGTTCATTCTCAGGGGATTGACAAATCAGCTAGAGCTCCAGCTCCCCCTTTTCTTCCTCTTCCTTGGGATCTACTTGGTCACCATGATAGGGAACCTGGGCATGTTCACACTGATTTGTCTGAATCCTCAACTTCACACCCCCATGTACTACTTCCTCAGCAATCTGTCATTTGTGGACCTCTGCTACTCCTCTGTTATTACCCCGAAAATGTTGGTGAACTTTGTGTCAGAGAAGAACACCATCTCCTATGCAGGGTGCATGTCACAGCTCTACTTCTTCCTTGTGTTTGTCATTGCCGAGTGTTACATGCTGACAGTGATGGCCTATGACCGCTATGTTGCCATCTGCAGCCCTTTGCTCTACAATGTCATCATGTGTCGTCAAGTCTGCTCCCAGCTGGTGGCTGTGGTCTATGCCATGGGGCTCATTGGCTCAACAATAGAGACTGGCCTCATGTTAAAACTGTCCTATTGTGAGCTCTTCATCAGTCACTACTTCTGTGACATCCTTCCTCTCATGAAGCTCTCCTGCTCTAGCACTTATGATATTGAGATGACAGTCTTCTTTTTGGCTGGATTCAACATCATAGTCACCAGTTTAACAGTCCTTGTTTCCTACGTCTTCATCCTCTCCAACATCCTCCGCATCAGCACCACAGAGGGCAGGTCCAAAGCCTTCAGCACCTGCAGCTCCCACCTTGTGGCTGTGGGGATGTTCTATGGATCTACTGCGTTCATGTACTTAAAACCCTCCACAGCCAGTTTCCTGGCTCAGGAGAATGTGGCCTCCGTGTTCTACACCACAGTGATCCCCATGCTGAATCCCCTGATCTACAGCTTGAGGAATAAGGAGGTAAAGGCCGCCATGCAGAAAACACTGAGGAGAAATGTGTTTTGAGGTTAAGTGTTACTCTTTCTCAATTTTAAAATTAAGTTGTTTTAATGCTAGAGGGAAGCTCCCTGAATGCTTACCCAACCATGATGGGAAATGGGTGCTTGACTACATGGTTGGATGAATGCCTCCTCCCCTTCTTCCGTCTTCCTTCCCTCTTTCTCTGGACTCTCCTTTCTGTTTGAAATCAGATGACTTCAAGTTCATGTTTTCTTTCACTTGAGATCCATTTTTTCTGTCCTGGACCCTTTGGTAAACATTTACTATCTTAACTAGAATTTAACATAAATTTTAAACTTTCAGCATTGAGTTTGAAAGTCACCCATTGTTTTATTACCTTCCCTACAGAAAATATTATTCAACCCAATTCTTTTGTGTGTGTGTGTGCCAGGGAGTGCACAAGGCAAAGAAAGGTGAATGTGAAAGTCACTGAGAAGTGAGACACAGCTACTTGCTCATCCGGACCTCCTCTTCTCTCTTCACTCCTCTCTACTTGTTCCTGCCCGGGAACCTCTGCGTGATCCCTTTATGTAATTTCATAGCAACAATAAAAGTAGTTAAGAGCCAGGCACATGTTTTGAGATGCTTACCCTGAGCCATGCAACTCCCCTAAATGCTTTAGAGGTGTTATTTCAATAATGCCTCACAACACATAGGTACTATTGTTATCCCCATCTCACAGATATGTAAACTTGGTTCAGTAACTTGCTGTGGTCACACAGCTGGCAAACAAACAACACTGGAATCTGAATCTAGTAACTTAGAGCTCACAGTTGGCTCTCACGCATTATCCCTTCACCTTCAGGCTGACACTCCATTTGAACAGCCTCTTAAGTTTGACCTATGTATGCTTTTCCAGTTTCAGGTACCTCCAAAAAATAATTTCTCAGGTCCCCACCCTTTATCGCCTGCCCTAGCCTCTTTCCCTTTGTAGAAAACTTCTTCAAGATGACTAAGGGAAGATTATACCAGAGTGACCAACATGACCCGGTTTGCCAGGCCTTTTCCCAGCGTTAGCACTGAAAGCCCTACATTTCAGAAAATCTGTCCAGTCCCAGACAAAGCAGGTTGGGGGAGGTGGTCACCCTAGATGACACCTTGCAGCAAAATCTCTTGTCCTGCTTAAATAACTGATAGACTTAATGCCAGCCTCACTCAGTAAATCCAGTGGCCTTGGGACAAAGTTTCTTCCTGCTCCCCTTGCTTATAATGATATCAAGGGTAAAAGGGTTAAACTCAGCGGCCTGACATAGGGCAAAGGATTTATGGACATCCTCTTGTCATTTATAGCTCTTTTTGGTATGCTATTATATCAAGCAGTGGTTTATTATGGGAAACAGAAATAACTACTCTTCTCAAGGAGAAAGGAATCTAATACAGGAAACTAGTTGCTTACAGATTTTTGAATGACTGGAGAAGGGGTGAGAAGACCCCCAGAGTGACTCCACAATAGACATGATCTAGGCGTCCTACTGCCCCTCTCCTCACTTCCCCCATGAAAATTGCCTCTCACACTCATGAATAGCAGAACCTAGGATGAGCATCACCTGGAAACCTGTCAGAAATGCAAATTCCCAGGTCCTCTATGGGCTCCAGGCCTATAGAATTAGCCAAAATCTGTACTTTAGTCAACCCTCAGGTGATCCCAAGACACAGTGAAGTATGGGGAACCCCCTCCCACCACCTTTCCAGTGGCAATTCACATCCCAGGGCTCCAGCTACCAGGGCATCTGGGTATGTAATAATTAGTTTTTAACCTGACCAGAAGGAGAGTAGAATGGATATTGAAAGAGCCATTCCCAGGTGGCTACCCATTCTTTCCTGATCTTTCTTCAGAAATAAGATCGCTACCACTTATAGAAGCCCACTGTTTAGGAAAAAAAGAAAAAGAAAAAAGGTAGGAAAATACTTTTTAGCTGAAGATAAGACACCGTAAAGCCAAATAAATTGGTGAATATCATATATCAGAAATTAGGATATTTGTTCGGCAAAGGACACAGGGGATGGAGATAATAGAAATAGAGTGGAAGATGATATCTAACTAACATATAGTAGAAATGCAGGCAAACCAACGAGAAGAAAACCATCAAGAGAAAACATGGGCAAGGTATATACGACAATCATGTTACATGACAAAACCTGAAGGGCCACCAAGCATGTCAAGAGACGCTTCAACCAATTACTAAACGGAGCAGGGCAAATTAATACCCTCTCTTTATACCCACCCCGGGGTACATAAAAGGACAGGCTGTGGCAGAGACTCAGCAGCAGTTAGAAGCAGAGGATCAGCTATGAGCGATGGAGCCTAGAGCTCGAGGGCTGTGCGAGATCTACAATACATTACTTACATATATAAAATTACATGCACACAAACAAACAAACAAATTAGAAAGAAAAAATAATAACATAAAATATACATAAATAGGTTGGAATGGATACCCAACGAGACAAGATGCATGGAAGTAGGGAGTGGGGAAAAGAGAAATAGAAATAAAAGTTCCTTTTTCTAGACTTAGCCCCCAGATGCATACAAATCAACACGGCCCAAGAGCCCAGGGTTCAGAGCTGGCCACTGGACTGCTAAATGTGGACACAGGCAAGCCCACCCTCAACGTCTGTGAGGCCTAGAAAAAGATTCTTTTAATATTTGGAAATGAATAATCAAGCTAACAAAATGTTAAATATTTTCTTCTTCCTACCTTGACAAATATACCTTCACAACCAGCTAAAATGCCAGGTTCAAATTTAGAAATCTCAGAATGTTAAGAGTTCTGCACTAGAATGTGATATTAAAGGAAGGCTCTGCCTGGTCTCCAGCCCCCTGCCCACGGCCACAGTGTGCTCCCTCCATGTCCTCCCACCAGATTCAGCCCCCTCTGTGAGGGGCCTCATAAAGACACATTTATGGATATCCTCGCGTCCAATCTCCATCCATATCCCCCGGACGCAGCCATCCCCTGGTAATCCCTTTGGTCTAGGGATGAACAACCAGCTATATGGTCTACTTTTAGGGGATGGACCTTGGGAAAAGCCCTATAAGCAGGTCAAAGGCATTCGAGGAGGGAATTCTGGCATCCCAACATTGAAAGCAAGTCCCCCTTAGATCTGTTCATCCTTTGGGGAGGGGGAGGCACAGCCAGAGAGACACTGAGGATGCCTCTCACCAGGTCTAAGAAGGCTGGAGTGGAGGGAGGTGACCTTTGCCTATGCGTCTGCCCATAGCTGCTTCTCTCCCTGACTGGTAAGTCCTACAGTTGAGATAAGTTTGTCCTTCATATTGCACTTCCCAAAGCATCTTTTTTTAGAGTGAATTCAAATTTGTATGCAAAAGACTGTTCTTTATCAGAAAGCATACTAAGTTTGAGATAACTTTAATTTCAGCTTTCTTGGGGGTTTTTCCTACTTATTATGGGTGTGGCATGGAATTTTCTTAAAAAGAGAGGAAGGCCATGTAAGTGCATAAGCTTCTCACTCATTTTTCATACCATTAGAGAGAGAAGAAGAGTGTTCACTGGAACATCCTCTCTCATGTGTTCTCTGAGAAGGACACTCAGCCTGAACCTCAAAGGGTCTTTTTCTTTTTTTGCCTGTAGGTAACAATACGGCATTGTATACTCAAAGATTTGCGAAGATGGTAAGTCTTGTGTTGTGTTGGTGTCACAAAAAAATTTTTTAGATTGGAGACAGAAGGAAACTTTTGGAGGCGATGCATAGGTTCATGGCATTGAGTGTGGTGATGGTTTTCGTGGATGTATACTTATCTATGAGCTCATCTAGTTGTATACATTCAATACATCAATCACCTCAATAAAGTGTTTTTCTTTTAAATGGCATCTTAGTGCTCAACAGCAGTTAATGCTTACCGTCTTGTGAGACCATCTTATATAGAGTTTACAAATAAGAAAAATAGGGGGTGCATGGGTGGCTCAGTTCTTGTGGCCTCCGACTCTTGGTTTCAGCTCAGGTCATGCTCTTGGGGTCACGGGGTCATGGGGTCATGGGATGGAGCCCATTGCACTCTGCGCTCAGTGGGAAGTCTGCTTCTCTCCCTTTTTCTTTGCCCCTCCCCAACTCGCACGCACGTGTGCTCACTCTGTCTCTTTCCAATAAATAAATAAATCTTAAAAAAAAAAAATAAGAAAAAGAGAGCTAAGTGAGTTGTCCAAAGTGTGGAACAAACAAAGACCACCGAAAGAGAACAAGCAAAGGCTATTTATTCAGAGCTTGCTGTAACAAGGAACGAGTCACTGTGGCTTGCCTTTGGAAGAGAGACTCATGAGGATGTCAAGGAGGCGGAAAAAAGGGAAGGGCTTCAGTGGTGCTCTCATTGGAGGTGATTGGCATGGGGAAGTTAGAGGCGGGGCTCCCTCTGTGATTGGCTGGAGGAGCGGATTTGGCTTTCTCTGGTCTGGGTTGGAACAGAGGGCAGACAGCAGCAAAGCTGGCAGTCAGCAACTGAATCCTGACCATTCTGGGCTAATTCTTTTTCTTTTTTTTTTTAATATTTTATTTATTTATTTGACAGAGAAAGAGAGATCACAAGTAGGGAGACAGGCAGGCAGAGAGAGAGGGGGAAGCAGGCTCCCTGCTGAGCTGAGAGCCCAATGCGGGGCTCGATCGCAGGACCCTGAGATCATGACCTGAGCGGAAGGCAGAGGCTTAACCCACTGAGCCACCCAGGCTCCCCTTCTGGGCTAATTCTTGCACAGGCTGTGGTTTGGCTTCACAGGCTGGTTGCTCCACAGGTCGTGGGTAAGAATTCCATTTTTACACAAGGTCTGGCCATTACGTGTTTGTGTATTCAGTTCCTCAAAAGTTACACAGTGAAAAAACTGATACTACCATCCCTGGTCTTTCGACTGCAGCTTTCAAAGTTCATGCCTTTTGTACTTCTGTATCCTGCTATGCGATCCAGAGCTTTTCAGAAGGCTCTCATGTAGTTGAAACAGCTTGGAAAAATTCCAGGGCAAAGGTATAGAAAAGATGCTCTTTAGAATCAAATGCAC